TTCTCTATCTTTCTTTCTATTTCGGATTCTCTCTCTCTCTCTCTATTTCTCTGAGAAAACTTGAGCTAATTAGATAAATTAGAGAAATGCATGACGTCCTGAAGACGGAGCGATGAATATCAACGTTGTTTGTAACATCAATATCAACAACATCAATATTACGAGAAAACAATCGCCATCGTAAATACAAATCAACCTGCACATAGAATCTCATCTCAGCGCGTTAGCCCTCGTCTATAGTCTAATACCCGGGGTGGCGTGTACCGGGTACGTGACGTCACTACTGCTGACGTCACTACTGCTGACGTCACTACTGCTGACGTCACTACTACTGACGTCACTACTGCTGACGTCACTACTGCTGACGTCACCGTGTGCGTGACGTCACTACTGCTGACGTCACCGTGTGCGTGACGTCACTACTGCTGACGTCACCGTCGTGAATATGTATCGTTTCGCGTCGGCAGGCGATGTCCCTGCTTCGCCTTTATTCGCGGCTTTGTTTCAGCAGTTTCAATTATTTTGTTGATGCGAATCTGACCTCTTTGTTTGTCTCGCGCGCAGATGTACCACAAGGGTTGTTTCAAGTGTACCGACTGCAACACCTCGCTTAGTATCAAGACGGCGAAGAGTCATCAGAAGCAGCCGTACTGCAACACGTAAGTACGATCTCACCACCGCTGACCACGCCCACTCCCGCCGCCACCGCCGTACGTGACGTCATCGCTGACCACGCCCACTCCCGCCGCCACCGCCGTGCGTGACGTCATCGCTGACCACGCCCACTCCTGCCGCCACCGCCGTACGTGACGTCAGCGCTGACCACGCCCACTTCCACACGTGACCATGCCCACGCTCATGGCTGGACCACGCCCCTTCCGGCTCTCCCAACGTGACGTCACGCATGATCGTAATTTACTACCGAGGCTCTAGCGATGTGTGCATTACGTCACGTGTTACGCAGTTTTACAGAAAGATGGCGCTAATGCTAATGCTACACTTAGCGTTACGATATATATATATATATATATATATATACATATATATATCGTGCCATGCTGCCATGTTATACAATCTAATATGTCTATGCACCATAAATGGTATTCATAGTCAGTAACGCGCGTAAATTCGTCCTCCTTGCGTGAATTCTCGTCTGTCGTCTCCTAGCGACCACCGCGTGACGCGCCACGTCACTACATCACGAACCGTCTGCTATCGCGCGGGCATTCCTCCACGCGGAAATACGAGACGGAAACGGTGTAGCGCCGGAATGTTTACATGCGCGATCTAGCCAGTTCTGGCCAGAAGCTATAAATAGGATGCTGATTGGCACATAGCTAACTCCTCTAACCGGATAAAATCCGGGGAAGTACGGTATAAATACGCGCAGAGAGCGGCTTTTTTTAAACTTGCCTTTTTAAGCGGGTTTTTTTTAGATTCTGTCCGACCTTTCCAATAATAATTCCACATTTTGTCCCACGAGTGTGTTTATATATGTGTGCGTTTATACGTATGCGTCCGTCCTATATTTGTTTCTGTGTTTTTATGTATGCAAAAAACGCATACGGTGTTATTGTGGGAGCCTAGTCTAGAATCTCGAGTGATACACGCGATGTAAATATTGTGCAAACTCAATCTGCAAAAATGGCGCCAAGAACATGACAAACTCACACAAATAAAACAGCAGCTACGACAGCAGCTAAAAAACAGCAATGCCTCAATAACTAATTAGAGAAAACATGTAAGCAAGCAAAAACGTAGCAACAATGATAATCATGATGACGTGAATTCTTTGTAGATGGCGCTGCGTATTTGCCGAATCTCAAAGATGGGTAGACTGGTGCTCGCTCCCACCTCTCGGCTTAGTTACTCGATCGCTGGGAGCTCCCAGCGAGTAACTAAGTCGAGAGGTGGGAGCGAGCACCAGTCTAAAAGATGGGACGATACTAGTTTCTCTATTGCACACGAATGATTGATGCCTTATAAACTTTTAGTAAACATAATTAGTCCATTGGGGGATTTCGAAAAAAATGTCGATCAGTTAAATAGCATCACCATGGGGGCAAACTCCAACAGATTTGGGAGTGTGAGACGTGATATCACCAAGTTGTAGGAAATTCATTTCAGAATGCCGGCAACCTTTCCATACTAGGTGTATATAATATACAGTGAATGTATAGTGACTTTGCATCAATAAATTATAAGTGGCATAAGAGCATCGCCTTTTTTATCCAGGGTAAAGACTTCTTTTTTCCAGGGTAAGTAGTCTCTGTGTGATAGTTCTGTAGGTCTGAACCCCACATGGGGCAAATCTGCAGATTAGCTCTCTTCTGTTTATGATCCTATAATAAATACAAGCAGTTTGTATATTATCGTAAAGGAATTGTGATGTCTAGTGAAACTCTAGCTAGTTGGGAGTCGTAAACTTAAAAAAACACATTATATGAGCTTTTCGCCGGAAAAATTTAGCACTCTAACTCGATAGAATGTATTTTAGATTGTTGCAAGTATAACACTCGGGTCTTATTTCTGGATAATAAAAAGACAAAAGCACGCACGCAGTAATTTTTCGAGCACAGCTGGTAAATCTCCTCTTCCAACAAAATCGCAGCAAAATTGCAGTAAATCGCAGAGTTGGTAATGCCTCTTCGGTAATTGTGTCTATCGCTCGTGGATAGCGTCCGACGAAAGTATTGCGCATTTGGCAAGTACCGAATCCACGCTATATGCACGCTTCGATATAGCTCACGCTATACGTCACACGCTCGTTCTCAGTTGCATCTGCGCACACTCAAGCGAGCAACTAAATTTGGGCCATATTCGTTACAAGAGAGTCTAGCTGAGCCGCGGGTCCCTTTATAACTTCCCGCTGCTGGTTAGAGGAGCTATGCCGCATGTCTCTATGAATCCCTGCGGCTTCTTCTACCGTCGGGATCTCTATAAACTACGGCAGCCTCGCCATTGCATCTGTATTGACTTAAGGAACACACGCGCGCGCGTATACGCTCCAAATCACCTCGGCTTAGTGTGAGTTTGTTTACGCATGGACGTGGACGGAAGGTGGTCTGGAACCCTCCCCGACATCTCGCCTGCTCCGCCAGGGAAAGCGAAACCTTGAAACTCGATCGCGAGCGCACTTCTCGTTTATGGTTAATCAATGTGTTCGTCATAATTGTATAAAACATGGCGGTTATAGCCCGCTATTATCTTCGTACTGTGCGAGCATCGATTACAAAACTGTAAGAACTGTAGATTGCCGTCGTCTACGGTTTCTTGTCGATGTTTGATGCTTCACCGGATTTCCGGCAGTCGCCATTTTATAACTCGTTAAAATCGTATTCGGAGCAGGATGATATGCAGATCTCTTTCTGTTCACTGCAGTATTTTGCCACTGATCTCCACTGATTCCCATAGTTCTCACTGCCGTATTACTGCTGTATTTAAGAACGACGTACGTCGAAATCGGAATTTAAATTAGAATTGTTTATTCATCGTGTTATATATGTTCATCGTTCATCGTGCATCGTTCCCGTATGTTCCGCGTAATGCGACCCATGCGCCCCCTGCATTTTCGTATACCTTCCAAGTCTGCCATAGACCGGTTCGCTGTCTCTTCCATGTGTATATCTATTATACAGAAATTACGAGACAGGTCGCCAGTCTAGGACCGTCGAACCTCTTCCCTTCTTTCGCCGCGGTATTATTTTCGCTTCGTGAGATAATATTATCGTAAAGAAATGTGTCAGCATCTGTAGAGAGTTTACTTACAGGGTCCTGTTTACCTCGCGAGAGAGGAATCTCAATTCCAGAACACTTTCAAACGTCACCGAGACTCCTTAGCACCTCTCCTCCTCCTCCACCTCCTCCTCCTCTTCCTCCATCTCCTCCTCCTCCTCCTCCTCCTCCTCCTCCTCTTCCTCTTCCTCCATCTTCTCCTCCACCTCCTCTTCCTCCACCTCCTCCTCCTCCTCTTCCATCTTCTCCTCCCCCTCCTCTTCCTCCACCTCCTCCTCCTCCTCTT